CTAATCTGTATATAAGTATAAGTGTTTGGTAACCACTTCACATGGAGCTCACTGATGAAGGTTCAAGGGTTTTTAACTCTTAGTAAACTTCCTTCGATATCCCTTTCCTTGGTTATGTCCCTTCATCTCCAGCTCTGAGTCGGTCTCGTGAGGTGAGTGTGTAGTTCCGTCAAAGATCCTATAAATGATTCATTATCATAAAAAATGGCGGAGTTTAAAAAAACAAACCCCAGTATAATAGAAAAACTTCGCCTTGAGAAAATGGCTAAAAACTTCATATAGAACTTCCGAATTCGAAGGTGGCGAAGCGCCCACAATATTTAAAACATACCAATTTATTATCGAGGCCAAGGAACGGTTTTCAATAAATTAAAAAAATAAAAACCACAAAGCATGATAATATCATAGTTTTATTTATAATCATCATAATTTACAAATAACATTAATTTCAACATACAACAATTCTTAACCTGGTGTAGTAAAAGTTGCTGCTGTCGCATGATACTGGGGTGATTTTAAAGAAATAAAGAGAAATTTGTTCAAGCTGGGAGAAGAAGGGAAGGTCCTTACCATTAATAAGGTAACGTTTTGACCGGGAGAAAACTATGACTTCATTGGCATACAGATCAGGTGTCTTATCCCTTAAACATACGTCGTGTTTTACTATCGTATCCATACGACGTGCACCATTTTCCAAACAGGAAATTTACTCGTTAATTCGATCCGTACGCTTTACATAGCAGTCTGTCAAAATTATGAAAACCAGACACTTTTATTTTTAAAGTAAATGTTCTTGTTTTTAAATTCTGGGACAGCTCTCGCATTTGAGCAACGACTTCGATCTACCTCCAGAGCATGAAGCAATACTTTGATTAAAAATAGAAACAGAAACACGTTAACATTCAATTTGAGCACACTTTTCCACAAGCTTCCCCTGATACTATTAGAGCTTATGTTTTACAAACATTCTAAGAATCGGTAAGATGGATGTGGTTTTAATATTAAGGGAGTGAATGCAGAGAGCTGTAATAGGCGGGGAGTGGGGGGGGGGAGGGGCGGTCTGGTATGTTGTACTATTTGCTACATCTGTTGTTTTTATCTGTCTCTTTGTGCTGCTCTTTCTGGTACAAACTTTATCGATTCAATATAGATTTACCTGAGAAGATACGATGGGACTAAACGATGTAGCTCTGAAGTTTTATATTAATAATCATAGAACCTATCTTTCTAGTTTAAAAAAAGAAAAAGAAAACCCACGATTACAGCACTTTTAAGCAACAGAGTTTTTGTTCTGTTTAAAATTACACATTCCATATTCTATCATGTCCATGTACAGCAATTTTCCCTTGCAAACTCTTCCTGGTTTTATTATTAATTATCAAATCTATTTTTTCCAATTTCTCGATAATCGGATGACAAAAGATACAAGTAGCTAAATCACCATGGAACCAATGCTTTCACAAGAGCTACTGAACACTGTAATATTTCAGAGTAGATTTCATTGTTTTTTAGTTTTTAGTTTTAGTAGAGGTTTTGCGACGGTCGAAACAGCATAAGGTCATATGAGCGTCAAGGGGTGGATGTCAACAGAGAAGTCCTTACAGGGAATCAGACTTACTCTGCTCACCTCTCTAGCTTCAACAGCACAAAGTCTGCTTCGACTATCAAGGCACCCCGGAAATAGTGGGTCACAAGAGTGTGACAAATATACAAAAGAAGTAGAGGAAAAATGACAATAGTAAGGATTAGGAAAGAAAAAGCAGCATTCCCTGTTGTAGATCAGGCACAGTTATGAGCGTGACATTGATGAATCCGCCCATATACAATTCTAACGTGCATTAACGAGAAATGTCCCCCCTTTGGGAATGGCCTAAAGACAATTCAGTCTGTGGCACCGCCCTGGTTGCGGGGGGGGGGTGCTTTCATTGTGCTATGTAAACATTGTCCTACAGCTTTAATACGATAGAAAAAGTCTTCTTATATCACTATTAATGTATCTGGTAGGTTTTATTTGCATGGTATACTATTGCATTGCAAATTTTTAAAAATATATTATAAACAAAATAATAATATAAACTGTAAACAACTGCTTTTAAATATAAGCATTTCAAAAATCAAATATTTGCGCAGATACTCGAACAGAACGTGCTATAACCAAAGAAAACGTCTTTAGAACATATTATTATACATTTTAAAAGTATGTAAATATTTGAGGTGAGTTTGAAAGATAAGCTTACAATCATGGTAGTCACGGTTTTTGTTCTTGCAGTTACATTAAAATGTGATAAAAAGTGGCTCAAATGTATTACATGAAGCTACAATAAAGGCTGCAGTAAAGCAAAAGCAAAGGAAACAGTAGCGCGTTTAGTGTTATGGTTAAGTTCTTTATGTCGCAAGAAATACATGACGTGAGACCAATTCCCAAGTTTAGAGACATTTGTGAGGCAGCGTGGTGGAATCAGGCTCTCGTCAATTTTTGGGCATGTAGAGTTATTGGTATCATCTTAAAGCTTTTTCACTTGTCTTTATTTGGAAGAAAAAAAGTATCCATTTATCCTGAATACAAGTCGAGATATTTGCAAATGAAGGAGGTGGGAGTCACCTGTTTTCAGAGGTAAAATTAGAGAGAAAATGGCCGCCAAAGATTAGTTATAACGTTAGCTTAAGAGTCCGTGGTTACTGAAAATTTACAATTTTTCTGCCTTTAATCAACGTTTTTATGAAAAATCCACACAGAAATGAGTTCTCTAATGGGTATGAAAGGTGTTGAGTCAAAAAACAAAAAAAATTAATAAAGATTCACAAACCTGCGGAAAAATGCAGGTTTCTTCACTTTGATTATTTTGACGAGAGCCTGATTCCACCACGCTGTCTCACATTTCATCAAGTCGCTACTCTAGAATTACAAAGTTCTATCAGCACAGTATAATTAGTCTTGAGATATCTGATGTCAAACATTTTGAGTTTCACAATACATCTACGTCAATCTTTTTCGAATGCAATTCTTTGAACACATTGGTAATGACTGACATGTAGAATAATCTTACGATTTTGATAGAGCTGACAGAGCATTTGATTTTTTATCTCAGGGTCTTAGTAACTCAAAACGGCCAAAAATGTCGGATAAAACTTAGTACTTCAGAGTTAATGAAGTATCTCATTGTTTCTGCCTAGAGCATGCACCCCTCTTCGCACGGCCCGAGTTGACACTGTCAAGTAGGGTCGAAAACCCTGCTTCTTAAATTCTTTGTAAAATTACTGTCTGTGTGTGTGTGTGTACGTGCACGCGCGTGCGTGCTGGCGATTATGAGTGAGTGAGTGGGTGAGTGAGTAAGTGAGTGAGAGCGAGAACGACAGTGACAGTGAGAGTGACAGTGAGTGAGTGAGTGAGTGAGTATGTGCGTGCGTGTGTTTTAGTTTTTATGTAAAGGGGAGAAGGGGTGGGGTTGGTGGGTAGAAGCTTCCACAAATCGAACCAACAAAAACAGGAAGAGCAGTAATTGAAAGACTGATCAGGAGCCCAATACATGGCTATTTTAGCCTTCTGACTGTGGTCTGCTCATTCAGCGGTTATGAGCGTAAAACATGTACACAATTTACGAATTATATTATTTTAGATGAGGTGGACTCTCGTCATACCATATACCATCGCGCATAAGCCATAACTTTTTGCCTAAAAATCAGGTTTCAAAGTCGCCCTGCCGTCTAATTCATCCGGTACGAATTAAAAATAACTGCTCCATGTCAAACAGTAGATCTAGAACTAAGACTGCGGGTGACAAACTTATAAGTATAAACATTTGATTTCTGTCGTTTTGATGAGTGTTTATTAATGAACAATCCACTGATAAAGGAGCTTGCCATAAAAAAGTTGTTGTGTCGTATCCGATAAACATAATTACATGTATATAAAATACACCAACATTTTGGCACTCAAGTCTACTGCGTCTTATCCGTGCATGCGTCTTAGGCCCCCTACACATATACGTTCCAAACTTCCGGTTGAGAACGAAAAGGCAAACATGGCGGCAGAGCCGTACATTATGTGGACGAAAAACTGCTAGGAAAAAGTAAAACCGGGAGGCTGGACCGGCAGCTTCAACGTGTGGATTTTCTGAATACAGTTCAGCGCGTTCCGTCGACGATAGCCTTTGTGTAACATCGCGTGCTTAGCTGGCTTATCTTGTCACTGCCTCACTGCCAATATCTTCAAAATGATTTACCGCACATAAAAATCTGATGACATTTTTTAAACGAGCGACCCATTTTTAAGGCAAGATCCGAGCAGAATTTGTGTGTGTGTGGGGGTTCAATAATTAAAGAGCAAACAAAATTCTCCCCCATGAGCAGCACGTAAATTGCAAGCAAATCGTCATTTTCAGTACCCTCGCTGTGGTTAGACCACGCGTGATGTGGATGACGGGACGACCCGTTGAATGGCGGTTTTGCGCGGTGGTTCGAACGCCGGCTTCTGCTCAGGATAAACGGCCCGGTTGGAACGTGCATGTGTGGGGCCCCATATATACGCGATGATGCGTACGAAACATTCAGGTTACAAAACACAGGCTTCTTCTGCATTTTACCATCTATTCAAGAAAACATCAATTGGTTGCTTTTAAGCACAAGGGGGCTATCCCGGAAAATACTGTTTTGAGAAAATCGAAGATAAAGTTTTTGCCCCTTATACAGTTTCTTTAAAAGACGAGGAAAGTTTTCTCTGTAAACAAACAAATATACACACCAATGAGACCAAACTTGTCCTATAGGTAGGGCAATGGCCACGTTTATTGTAGGTCAATACATGTATTTCTGGAAGCCCCCGAAATCTGGGTTAGCCCGCTTGTCCTTAAAAGCGTCCAATTGAGATACCAGCACTCCATATCTAAGGGACATAGCTTTGGTAACTTGCAGGCCCAAGATTTAAAGCCTTTGACTGATATTTGTTTGATTGCAGCGTTAAAACAAAAACAGCAGAATATTCTTTCACTTCTTCAGATTTGAAGTACTACCCCGCATACACAACTGAATAAGTTGCTTGCAACAAATAAGATTCAGATTTTAGCAAAAGCTGAAGCGAACGGACACTCGATACCAACATTCTAATCGATTTTATTCCACAAAAAGATTGCAAATTGAAACTTACACTCCAAGGTAGCATTTGACGTTGCCGAAAATGCATTCCTTATATTTTTCTCTTCTCCAATTTCCACGAGGAACACAGAATAATTATCCATGCACACATTAGCATGCCTTCATAATGATTTGAAAGATTCGTAGGCGTTAATATTTAATTGTCCACTCTACTCACGACAACAGACACCCATTTACAACGGTGTCTGCAGTATAATGGTCAGGATTTTCACCGATACATAAAGTAGATATAAGTTTGATCCACGAGTAGGGGAATTAATTCATTGGGTATCTCCGTCTGCCTGCCAGGATATTGTATCCCACTTAGCTCAGGTGCCCCAGACAGGCAGGGTCGAAGCAGCCCATCTCCTGAATTGATCTACTTGTGTCGAAGGGGGGTGAAAATCATTTATTTACAACCATCCATTCACATTTCATTCAACACTCAATTCAACACTCAATTCGATACTCAATTCAACCCTCAATTCAACACTCAATTCAATACTCAAATGCCTTTCGTTCCTTGTTCTTTTTCGCCTGAAATTTCATCACAACTAAGGTTTCTCCTTGAGCAATCTTTCACGTCCTGAAACTCTCCTCCGTCGCGGAATCTGTGTGCACGTCCACGGCTATCAACGATTCGCCGTCGGGCTGAGACTGTTCAGCACTGTCCGTCTTCTCAGCATCTTCACCTTCCTCCAGCAAATCCTCCTGAGAAATTCCTTCGGCTCCTTTGTTCACAATACCCTGGCCCTCTTCCACGTATCCTAAAGAATCATCCCCAGGCTGTTTCTCAGAAGTCTCTACTAGGCCCAAATGTGACTTAGCATCTCTGTAAATATGTAGCGCGGTAATACAGCACTGGACTGCCAAAGCAACGGTGAGAAGCCACGAGGATATCTAGATTGGGGAGGTGGGGTTGGGGGTTGGGGGTTGGGGGGGGGGGGGGGGGTTACAGAGAAATAATAGAGGTTGGGATGAGTAAAGAGAAGCACATCGAATGGTGGACAAAAAATAGAAATATAAATAAATATGTAGACACACTGAGTATTTATCATTCTTCGTAAGTATTTTACTAAAAATATTTTATGTAAATATGAAACGAATATGTCCATAATATTACCATTTTCATTCCAATGGCCAAGATGAAATATAAAGAGACACGGAAATAAAAATATAACAATGAATGTATTTACTAGAATAATTATAAGTATTCTTAGAATGGGGAGTAACGTGGCTTGTCTTGATTAAGCGTCGGGTATATCAAATCTAGAACCCGTAAGATTCTTTTTTTCAGGTTTATATTGTAAGTTTAGTGACAATGCGGCATATGGCTCGTCGGGGCAAAGGCATGAGTGAAAACGCCACCAGCAGAAAACGTAAAGAAAGAATTTCTATTGCTGATGACCTTGGTCTCTGCAGTGTCACTGGTGGCAGTTCTAGAAATGTTTAATATTAAATGCTGGCGTAAAACATGACTCCATTGCAGACAGGCTTTATTATTACCTTATTCTACTGGAATGACTTTTATCCCCAAAAAAAAACAACAACAGGGAGACAAAGTGTGAGCCTAGTGTTTAGGCCCCCGGACTTGGAACCGTAAGGTCGGGGGTTCAAATCCCGTCAGGGGCCGACTTTGTGTCCTTGGGAAAGGCTCTTGACACGAATTTTCCTCACTTCACCCAGGTGGGAATGGTTACCCAGCTATAGACGACGGAAGATCTTGTCAGTTTGTTAGTGTTTGAGCGCTTAATCAGCTGCTTGCACTCTATGCTTTTCAGGAAGCTGAGAATGTCTCAAATGTGTTCTATGGTCTGCTGGGGTAATAATAAAGCGTAAAGCGCATAGAACTTGCTGTTGAGCGGGGTATGCGCTATGCAAATGCTATTCATTATTTATTATTATCAAGAAACAACTATTGTTTTCGCTCACCTCTCCCATTTTAGAATAGGTGTAGAAGTTTGACACTGTGCTTGGTATCCACGGGTGGTTTTGATATTCTTTACAAGGAACCCTGAAACAAAACAGAACCAAGTGCAACTCAGTGAAGCTCAGAAGAATATAAAAATAAACATTACATGTGAAGAAACATAGTGGGATGGCAATACAACAAGAAAGAAGTTCTAAATTGAAGACACAAACAGACTAGAAGAAAAAAAAGAAGCATGACCTCTAATTGGCGCCCCCAGACAGACAGACAGACCTACTGACCGAACCGACCGACAGACCGACAGACAGACAGACAGGCGGACGGACGGACGGACAGACAGACAGACAGACTGACAGACAGACAGGCGGACGGACGAACGGACAGACAGACAGACAGACCGACAGATAGAGAGACAGACAGACAGACGGACGAACAGAAAGACAAACAAACAAACAGACGGACAGACAGACAGACACAGACAGACACAGACAGATAGATAGACCAGAAGAAAAGAAAATAAACAGAATCTACAGAGACACCAAATCCCCAAAAGGACAAAAACTAACAACAAAAGAATAAAACAATTTTTTGTAACACCCTCATCTGGCTCACCTCTTCCTCAGGTACTTGTTGTTGTCTTCTAGAAAGCTGCACCAGGAGCTGTTGCCTGCTGCGATGCGACTGCTGGACACCAGCACACAGATGAAGAAGGCGAAGTTGAAGAGGAAAAAAGGAACCAGGAGCTTCACCTGTGACCTGGCGATATAATAATAATAGTAATAATAATAATAATAATAATAATAATAATAATAATAATAATAATAATAATAATAATAATAATAATAATACAGTACAAGCAGCTGATTAAGCGCTCACATTAAACACATTGACAAGATCTTTCACTGTCTATAGCTGGGTACCCATTCCCACCTGGGAGAAGAAGGAAAAATTCGTGTAAAGTGCCATTACCAAGGACACAACTTCGGGCCCCAAAAGAGATCGGAGCCCACGACTTAACGGTAGCAAGTCTGAGAGCCTAACCACTAGGACACCGAAGCCACAGTATATATTATGTACCATAGACTTGTGTTATATCCTAGACTGTGATCTCTGACGTAGTTATGGTTCACTATGGAGCGCATTATTTGATTCACATTGAACCACATGAAGGATAAGAGGGGATCGAAATATGCTGCGCGAACTCGACAAAAACGAGGCTGTTGTTTTGCCCTTCGTTTGGGCATAACGCGCAGCCCATGTGTGCACACTTTTAGTTTTAGTAGAGATTTTACGGCGCTCGCAACTGTGAGCATCCGTTTGTTTGTAGAGGTGTTGCATCCCTTTCCGCCCAGATTAGCTCTGATATGCACGGTCGGAGAAGCTGACCCAACGGTATACCCGACCCGAGACCCCAGAACACAGAGCATTGAGTATAAATCCCAACCTCCTCCCCTGGAAAAAGGGGCGGGAAATTTAATATAAAAATTCCATGGGGAAAACCTGCATATTGTCTAAAATTTACGAGTTAAAAAAACCCTAGGATATATACATAGGCAGACAACCTGCAACAAGAACAATAACAGCGATAAAGAAGACGACGCCAACAACAACAACAACAACAGCAGCAACAATACGAAAAACTACAACATAATAACAAAAAATACGACAGCAACAGCAATAGCAGCAATAGCAGCAACAACAACAACAACAACAACAACAGTAGCAACAACAGCAGTACCAGAGACAACAAGAAACAAATCTATCTCGTCCTCAAAATTTACTCAGCAATTGTAAAGTCAGTAAGTGATAGGAAATCTTGAGGTTCCAGCAGAAAAAACTTAACTTACTTAAACTGCCCTTTGACAGCTCTGTTATGAACGAAGAACCAGATGAAGATGGTAGAGGAAATGGCCACAGCGACATTGATGTATGTTGTGTATTCACAATCGTCCATGTCGCCAAACACTGTCCGCTGGATGTCCAGCATGATCGTGTCATTTTCTTTGCTTAGGCTGAAAGTTAAAGCGAAACGATACAAATGACAAGAGGGTTGGTAATACGTTTTGTGTGGGGTGGGGTGGGGTGGGGTGGTGTTCTGTGGTGTGGTGTGATGAGGTATGGTATACTGCGGTGTGGTGTGTTGTTCTGTGGTGTGGTGTGCCGAGGTATGGCAGATTGTGGTGTGGTGTGGTGTCGTATGTGGTGTGTGTTGTGATGTGATGAGGTATGGTATACTGTGGTGTGGTGTGTTGTTCTGTGGTGTGGTGTGCCGAGGTATGGCAGATTGTGGTGTGGTGTGGTGTCGTATGTGGTGTGTGTTGTGATGTGATGAGGTATGGTATACTGTGGTGTGGTGTGTTGTTCTGTGGTGTGGTGTGCCGAGGTATGGCAGAT